CGGGTCTCGAAGCAGCGACTTCTCCAACCCGGGTCTCCTGTCTTGCTAATCCAACTGCGACTGTATGGCTCATTGGTACCCGATGAAAGCATAGCAATATCTGGAGCAGCCATTATGTTTAAGAGTTTCAGAAATATTCAGAAATAGTCAGATATGCAGTATACTCCATCCAGGCTCAAACCAGAAGAGACTTACGACCATTTTGTACAGAAGAAGAACAGAAAAGAAAAGATGGCATGGAAAACATACAGTAATCTCAATATTATCTGCCTCCACTTTCAGAAAGAGCCCGTACCAATTACTGTAACGTTTCTTCCATAGCTGCTTTCTCTTTCTAAGCGATTCAAGCAGCGGAGAGCATACCACAGAAAATAATTTTTTCACTGACATTTCCGTAAGTGTATGACGCACGTCATGTTTATCTGTTTGTGTGCGTCAGTCACTAAGCAGTTAGTTAGTTAGTTATTGGAGAGGGTGGGTTTACCCATGCACTGAGACCAGTATTGGTCCATTGTGCTTCCCTCTATGATAGTCTACCAGTCTCTATACCCTACCGATACTGGTGCGTACCATCAGTCCCGACCGAGCCAGCGAGTTCGGCCTCTACTGGCTTGGCGGTATCTATAATGCTTCCCCCATCTATCAGAGGCTTAGAGACTACTGTTGGGCGGGAAATGTCCTTGAATTTAGCTCAGTGACCTCCTTTGGAGATATGAGGTTCTTTTACGTGCCGTAAAGCTACGACACGGGACCCACGGTTTAAAGTCCCTCCCGGAGGACTTGTTCCCTGAAATTTTCCGCCCTTAAAAATTCCACGACCTCCGCCGGGTTTGAACCCGCGTACCACGAGTCATGAGGTGGGAACGTTACCTCTAGACTACGGAGGTCGCTCGACTAAGCAGTTACTTTCTGTTATTTATTCCATGTCGGTCTTTGTACTGGAGACATATTATGTTTCCTGCGAGGTACGAACTGATTTTATTAAATACAACTTACATGAATGTTCAGATTTATGAAGACAGAACTTACTGAGCCCGTGATAGGTCTGTACGGCTACTGCATCACACAAGAGCAGGAGGAGGTCTACACGCCACGTGAACTGAGAGAAAACCTGAGGTTCATGCTAACGAAAATTATGTATTTATTGTCTTATGTGGTGTTTCTCAACGGATGGGACGCGGTTCACTCTTTGAAGTTTGACTGAGTAGAACGCGGCGGAGGTTTCGGTAATAAGAATTTCCAGTAAGTACTTATATAACAATAAAATGAACATTATTTCAAAAACACACTTCAAGGTTCTCCGCACTTTGACGTTGCTATGAGAACAACACGACCAGCGGGAAGCAAAATGCAGAAGACTGAGGTCACTGGTCCAGTGATAATACATAAGGGAATTTTGTGAGAGGAATAGAGGCATGTCGAATGCTGTGACATAGTGGCTGTCCCTTAAAGGCTCGAATCTCGGCTGAAGCATCGACTGGCGGAAATGACGTAACGAGAATATAAAATGGTCGCTTTGAAGATTAGAAGATCTCAGGTTTTTACATCTGTGAAGATTTGGTCTTTTGGGTTTGGTAAGTGGATATCGAAGGAGGCAGTACGCCACTCTGAACTGCTGGTACCAATATACTAGCCTGTACGGTGTTATAACCGAGAAGACCACACACTGGACTTTGTAGATGTTTCCTGCAGGACAGTATAGCCTAAATTACATGGCAGTCATTCGGAAAATTCTACAAATTTAAAGATGTTATACTGGCATGACAAAAACAAGGGTAATTTCCTGGCTCTCTGTGTTACCATTAGCTTCTCAAGTAGGAAGCAGTTAGTACATGTAGAATCATAAGGCAAGTGTTATGCTCCCGCTGCGTGTTCTGGTTGCCTCAGGTTGCAATCTAGGTCCGCAGACTAGCTATCATGACTGATGCTCATGGATTTCCTCAGTTCATGCTAGATTAATGCCGTATAGTTGCTTCTGCGATATTGTCTCACGCAGTCTGGTAGATATTTACTGACGTTTCGGAGCGATCTGATGCCTCCGTTCTCCTACGCTGAAGATAAAGACAGCAGGTTCATCCAAAACGGACCAGAGAACATGGTGTCACAATCTTCATAATCACTTCCGTGATAACCTTGAACCTCACAGAGAAACAGAGGAATGTCAGTGATTCTTAAAACACAACAACGTTAATAGCTTCTCGAAATGTACACGTGAAAGCGACTGCATTTCTTTCTAGAATAAAAATGGTTGTCGGCCGGCCTTTCAACTGTTCGGTATAATTCTCGACCGAATTGAAGCAGATGCTGAGTATATACATAACATCGAGGTATGTTTCAACAGAACAAATCAAGTGAATTACAGGTCATCTGGTCCAACACGCATTCTCCCTGCTAACGTTAACACAATGAAAACAAAAAAGTGTTCACCACTTTTCTGCCGATGTTTAATGTATGGGCATCTTGCACAGTGACATGCGGGTGCTGTGCTTCCAGGCGCCGCAAGCTGTTCTCACTTGCTCCATATTTACAATTTTAATTGTGATCCATTTAGAAACGCGCATTAATACATGAATCTGCCCCAACCCTGAGTATTATCCGTTAAAAGCATTGAAGTCCGATATCTCACAGGACAATAACAGTCAGTCATATGCATTAGCAAGTGACGGTGCTGTGTCTGCATTAAATTGAATTTAAACACACACTGCGTGCGTGCGTGGGCTTCTCTAATGGGAGTTCGTGACGTGTGAAATGCAGTAAGAGGTGGAGCCATTAGCAGGGCCGCTGCGTCACACGTCACATGACGTGCTCAGGGGGGTAGCGAGGGCTCACGTTCCCAAGTTCAGTTACACTTCAAATTGTCCGAGGCAAATTCTCTCTCTCTGAAGTGAGAATGCATACAAATTTGCTGTGGATTAAGATCAAGCGAAGAGACTACTTGGGAGACCTAGACGTAGATGGAATCCACCTACAAGTTTCAAGCGCTCATCTAAGCCATTAATATATATTGTTACTCCCTCGGCTTTACATGGGGAAGAATTTTAAATATATACATACACAAAGAAATGCAAGGGTGATCTATCTGTCATAACGTTTACTACTTTCAAATGTTTATAGCTCCGTGACAAATAATATTGGGTTCTGGATTGGATGATTGGATTCATTGACACCTTGTAAAATCTCTGAATCATAATTAATGACTACCGAGGACTCGCTCTATTCTCGTTCCCGTTCTACGCCTTACTTCTGATCTACGGCTGGACTACTTGTATATTTGCGAGGCGGACGCATAGAAAACACATCCGTTGTTCAACAATGGATATGTGCGAACCACATAGAAAACACCTCTTCCTCTACTGTTGTAACTAGAGCGCGCTGCATAGCAACGGAAATTATCTGATTGTTGCCTGCGTATTCATTGCAGCGTATTTTTGTAGCTTTTACTTAGAAACAGGCTGTTTACTAAGAATCTGTCTCCGCGGGAATGTGTTTATCGAGACGTTGCCTAGCAGTGGGTCGGTAAGTACAAAAATAAGGAGACCTTGAGGAAGCAAGGTGATTCTGCCCTTACGGCACGATTCACGCCAATTCATTTTAATTTCCTTCTTTACCGACCGGCAGCTTTCTTCGGTGTCTTAGCTCCGAGGGAAGGAGGAAGAAAACTTCAGAGACGAGATGGATGCTGGACGTCACGGCGGCAAGAGATGTCTGGATATTTGTCATCATTTACTGCGCGCATGTTAAACGCGGCAAGGTCTGCTCCCAGGCGTCCTTTGAACCTACACGACAATAGGAAAGAACCACAGGGTTGCTTTTCTTTTCCGTGACTCAGCAAATCGCGAGAGGAGGCACAACATAAATCACTACCGGCATCCGCGTTATAGTTGCAGTCAATGCCGGTCGGTATTCGTGTGAAGACAGCGCCACTTGTCAGCTGTCTCTGCGTTCCTAGTGTTCGGATCTGAATGTTGACTTTCCTGGTAAAGAATGGGTGGTCTCCGCTTCAGACAGAAAGTAAATCCAACTGATACGAATCGTGTAGCTATTAAGTGTCAAATGTCGTTTCATTTGTCTAACTTTATGTTTGATGCACCACAATTTCAAGACTCTCTTATAAGACAAGAAACATCTACGTGAACTTAGGGTAGTATTATTGTTTCATGCCAGTCGTGGTCCAACTTCAGTTCTTACAGACCAGCCTTAACTGTATGTACCACTTGCTTTAACAATAAAAAATCCTTAATTTCCCCACACAGTGTATTTATGTGTTCCGTATGGTTCTCACAGTAAACAGCGACTGTTTCCCTAAACAGCATTAACCGGTTGGGCTCTGTAGCGGAGACGTAATGTGTTTCCTGTGAAGGAGGAATTTAATTTTTATATAATTATTTATTTAGAATGATTCCAGACTTCTAAATATGAAGATATGAATAGAAGATAAATTTTTCCTTGTGCTTAATTAATTAAGGGTCACGCCATGAACACGTATGGGGGAGTCGCTGTATGGCTCCACCATTCTTAACCTTGGCACTAGAAGGAGGTGTCTGCCGACCGGTTTTCCTCCGGGGGAGGAGTACTAGGTACCCATTTCATAGATAGGGTGAATCCCAGAGCCGATCTGAACTCTACAAAAAACAGAAGAGCCCCTATCCCTGCCGAGCGTAATTACGATACGAACACAGGTACTAGTATCAGATCTGTGTGTTGACAGTAGCGCTGCGGTTTACACAAAGGAAGATGGCGCAACTCAGCCAGCATAGTGACTGGGCTATGGACTGGATGACCGAGGAATCGGGACTCGATTCCGAGCAAAGGCAATAGATTCTTCTCCACAGCGTCCAGATCAGCTGTGGGGCCTTCCCAGCTCCATTCCCGTCGGTAAAACGGCCGGGGCGTGAAGCTGACCACACACATCCATATAATGGGACGATTAAATGCACTCCCTCCTGCGTGTTCTTGGCTTGGAGTTTACATGACGCTGCCCCTTGTGTCTCTGTGTGCAGAGTGGCTGAGGGTGCGACAGTCAGCAGCAGGCTGGGAGCGAGTCTACTGCCGCTGCGAGAGCAAGAGGTCGTCGGCCCTCCCTGTTTCCCTCGAGACCCGAACCCACACCCGGGCAAGACGCTGAGCCTCGGGGCTAGCCTCGTGGCGGGGTCGGGGAGGGATCCCACCTGCGCCGAAGCCTTCTGGAAAATGCCCCACAAAGGTGAGTCTGACAACTGCGTTTCCTTCCCGACACAAAGTTCAATGGAGTCTCAATTTCACGCCATCCATGTTGCCTCAAATGTCCGTTGTTACAACACAACAGGCACTTAACTCTTCGATACACAGTGGTAACTGTATGTACCACATGCTCTAACATTAAAAAACTCTGCAGTTTGTCCACACTGTGAATATATGTACATATATACATGTGTATGTGTTCTGTATGATTCTCACAATAAATAGAGATTATATTCCTAAACAGCGTTAACGTTCTTCTTGCAATGGACATTCGGTGCTTTTTCCTCGAGATAGCAGCCGGGTTTAAATATTAAATACAGGGTGATTCATGGGAAGTATCAAACACTTTTGAGTAAAATGGATTTAAAGTAATATGGGTCCAATTTGGAAAATTTTGTAAGCCAGGGCAGTTAGAAAGCAAGCTAAAATCGTTACCGAAATAACGGAGTTTAACAAGCGAATCAATTTCATAATAACTTCACTGCAGTACAAAAATTAATGTCGCTTACTAAGAAAACAAGTTATACAAACACCTCAAACTGTCCGCCTGCAACAGGAGTGCATATTTCACTACGGTGTAATATTGAAATTGTTGGCATCACTGTGAATACAAGCTCTAAGGAACACGTATGCAAATGTTGGTAGTACCTCTAAATAACAAAGTTCATGAAAATCAGTTCAGCTGTTCTGTAGTTGTAATATGTGGGCGAACGGGCAGACATACTGTCATGTCGAAGGTAAAAGGCTCATTTTTTCGCAAATTTTCTTTGGTAAAGAGCCAAAAGGTTATTACTATGGAAACAGAAAATTCTGCATTGGCTGTAACAAGCTTTGTATTTCCGCCATTCAGGTACTGGGTAACAAAGTCGACATTTGTCAGAAACTATATCACCGAAATTCATAACCATGTTTTGAGGGAATAACATAAAAAACATGCATCGCTGAGTTAAACTGTTCATTTCATCTGCAGTAACAATGTTTCCGTGTGTTGACATCCGCTTCCACAACTCACGCGATGCAAATCTAATTACTTCTAAATTAGCTGTTACATAAACTAACGGACTACAATCGCATTGGAACCATTCTAACGTTGATAACTTCTGAAAGCAATATATACATGTGCCCTGATTCGAATACATTGCTGTTAATAGAAAGGTTCACGTAATACAAGCATTATCAATGTACTGGATTCTCTGTTAACGAAATTACGTTCTATGTCATATGGATTTTTATTGACCTGTTTTTGTGAATATGGCTTTGTTTTATACGAGGAAGGTTAACTAATTAAAGACTAATGAAATAAGAGACGGATAGCAAGTTCTAATTTTTTGAATGGCAGAGTTCATAAGGCAACTCAGGCTACTCTTGGTGGTATCCCTTCAGAAAGCAAATCGAGCAAAACTTGTCTAAAGCATCTCTGAGGCTGCGTCATACCTCGAGTAGGCAACCTCACGGAAGGAAAGTCTCTGTGTGTGTTCAATATTTCCGGTATGGCGAATCTAGTTAACTCTTTCGCGATGATATATAACATATCAATTGTGATGACGTACTTTGAAAGATATTACAGACAGAGTATAATTCCGTGAAGCAGAGTCCTACTAGAGAAGCTACTAATAGCTTATCTGGCCAAGAAATTCGCTACTTATTATGGAATCAGAATGTTTATTACCACGAAAATCACTGTCTTCTCAGGTGTGACGAAATGCAGTTTGGTAGACAGGAAATAACGTTTTGGAAGAAACTGCTTCCTATATTTTAAGGACAGAAAAATTCTCTTCTGCGCTGAAGATGAAGATACAATATTCCTCCGAAAGAATAGTATCTATCAACAAACCTCCACAGTATCACACCCCAGAAGGCCGTAATTTGATACCGCTGTAAGAACCTCAAACCTCAACACATATTCATTGCCATGTTTACGAGACCCCTAAGACAAATGAGCACATCCTGCACCCTCATATCCTGGGTCTTTAGGATCAATTTTAATATTTTCTCACTATTTGCGCCTAGAGTTTGCCTTTACACTAACTCCAAGCTGAAGTATCCTTTCTGAGAAGCTGAGAGTCACTCAGGAGGTCAAGAAATTGCTTGCCTTTTACGAAAACCGAAAATCGAAAATGAGTTTTATATCTACCCGAATCCTTAAGTATGTTTAGTGCCACCTCACCGCGTGATCTGTCGCTATGAAGTACACACACTGCACTTCCGCTCTTCAGACAGTTAAATCATGTTAACGAATCCGGATATCAGGCGAGCAATTCATACAGTACGGAGCGGGTTGACGCAGCGGTAAAGCTCTACAGGGATAGATTGTTCTGAGATTCTTCATAGTTTTCATCAGTCCCTCCAGCAAAGTACTACGATTAGGTAACGACCGTTTCCTTCCAAATCTCTTTCAATTCATCACTCACCCAGCATCCTACCACCCTACGCTACATGGCCTCATCTGGCCACAAACAAAACGTTGCAAAGACACTGCACATGCTTTCACATGTATGCAGTATAACTGCTCGGCAGGCCTATGTTGGTTACTAATAATGATACTTCGCGTCTGGGTCCCTATATATTCCTGCAGAAGCCAGCCATACAACTTTATTTAGGGAGATGTTCTCCGTAAGTTACCGAAATTCCATCAGAGCTTTTACAAACGTTTGACACCAATCGATGTTCTGTTTTGGAGGGCTCTCTTGAAGGGCCAGGATGTTCATATTCATCGGGCACCGATCCATGACTAATGAACTCTTGAATACCGAACAAGAATACAATCCGTGCAACCGTTCCGACGCTAGCGAGACGCACAGGCAGACAGAGAGGAAGACGGGCAGACGGCTTCCGAGAGCCACTTTTTCGCATGTAAATCCGTCAGTATGTGGAGGCTGATTTTCCTGCCGATGACAACACGACATGTATGAGACAGCAAACGGAACGGGCAATGCAGAGGCGTATTCTGCAGACAACGCAGTGTTCACATGATACTTGCCCACGCGCGTACCACAAAACCCTGTCAGGTGAAGTAACGTTGAGCGTGTCCATGTTGCGGTTACTTTCTGTAGAGGAGGGGGTAAGAGGGGGTTGGGAAGCACAGGAATTCAATCCTATACCGTACGGTAACATCGACGGTTCTGAAATATGATACATTTTACAGGCCTTGTTCGTAGTCTCTTCTTCCTTCTATCCACCATCTTCTACAGAATATAAAAAAAAAAAAAAAAAGATAAAAAGAATACATTCTTATACCCCGCTATCTCTTTGTCTCCCCCTATTCGACCGGAGAGAACAAGAGACGAACGTTCATCGTGTATGACAAGAGTCATGTCGGCGGCGGAAGGGATCGAAGAGCCCGGAGAGAGAGAGAGAGGACTGACTCCGCTGCAAGTTAAATGGCCCACGTGAGGCGCGGTTGGCCGGCCTTCCAAACCGGAGTCTGGCTGACTCAGAAACCAAGCGAACTGAAAAATCAGGATGCCCTGGCAATGATCGAAATCGAATCGCCGTGCTGACAGACAAGACTGTCAACTCCAGCACCACTCAGTCGAGAAAGCTCAGGAGACCTTGTCAAGGTGGGGAGGAGCTGTCAGGCCGTGCCTCGCGCAGGCCACGATAGGCGATAGTGGGACGCTTTTTGTATTTCAGATTTCCGTTTCATGAGGAGATCTGTAGGGACAGAAAGGCAATGTGTGTGTGGGGGGGGGGGCACAATGTTCTTCGGTACTCTGCCTGTAATGTACCTGACTGTAACACAGGGACAACTCAAAACTGCTTATCCGAATTCGGAGGAAACTTCGATACATTTCGTCTTCATGAGTGCTATTGAATCCACGGGGCGGAGACGCTGAAATCGCTCAGCTCGTCAAGCCACTGTCCGTCTTCTACAGAGATCTAACATTCATTTCTGTAAGATTTTAAGGTTTCTCGACGAATAAAATTTGTCAGTTCAATATGGACAAGAAGACTTCAGCTCATCAGATTCTGTTTTGTCCAGAGCATGCCATTGGGTCCTATCCTCAACCACGTGAACCCAGCCGAGAACCTCACATATTATCTTTAAAATCAATCATAACATTACATTTCCAGCTATACTCAGGTCCCCTGAATTGCCTCTTTCGTTCAAGTCTCCCGACTAAAATTCTGCATGCGTTTGTTATCTCCATTATGCATGTCAGTCTGCATGTCCCGTCCATCTCAAACTCCACGTTTACTTTGTCCAAGGCTCCACGCCGTTTCGAATTCAATCCCATCTCTTCAGCACAGACTTAGATCTACGGCTATTAAAGCCACGATTATGCTTTGAAGCCTGTGATAAGTCAAGTGACATATAACATTTTAGTTCGTACCTCACAGGAAACACAATGTGTGTCCATTACAAGGTCCAACCTGTTAAAACCTTCGCTGTTTATTCTGAAAGTCATACAACACCAATAAATACACCGTGTGGACAGACTGCAGTTTCTGCACATCAGAGCAGGTGCTACCATAAGATACAATTATCGGTATGCCACAAAGTGTAAAAAAAAGGCCATATTTACAGACGAAAGTTTAATTTGTTTATATTATTTTTGCTACCTCATAATGCAGCAAACGTCTAGCCATTTTTATCTTCCTTGCTCTTGCATCTACCCCCAGAGCTCGTATCATTAAGCTGCTAATTTCCAGACAACGAGGACTTCTCATCACGAGCAATTTTAGCTTTAGAGCGAGCCGCACAGAACGGAACACAGAAGGGTGGGGTGCGGGACACTGTAATTCCCTCTCGCGGTTGTGCCACGCGTAAGGTATGTAATTTCTCGAGGGTTGTGGAGGGGGTGAGTATGGGTCTCAAGAGGGCGGACACCCCCGGTGCGTGTCAGACCGCGGTGGCGGCATTGCATCAAAAAACGAAAACTTTGCTTTAGACTGATTCAGTCCTAAATGAAGCACATGCGATGTGCGTTGTTGAGCATGCGCGGATCGGATGAGGTCCTTCACAATTTGTATGAATGCATA